TTCTTGGCTTGGAATTTGGGCCAGGACAGCCTCTCCCTCTGGGCCCGCCGGCCTCTGCCTGCCCTGGACTTGGAGATGAGCCTCTCTTGGTCCCCGTCTCTTTCCAGCGTCTTCACGGGTGTGTCTGTGCTCCCCTCGGCGACGTCTTCGTCCTGAAACGCAGGGAGAGGAGCCGTTTGGAGCCGGTACAAGCAGTCCGCAGCCTGCGGCCCTGGGCTCAGGGCCTCCCCCTTCTCCCCCCCGGCCTCCCTGGGGCCACGGCGGGCTCACCTGGGTCCCCGTGTGCTTTGGGGCGCGCTGCGCGGTGCTGGAGGCCCAGGCCGCGGGCTCTGTGCCTGGGAGCTTCCGTTTGATCTTGAACTGGACCTTGTACGGCTCTGAGTACTGAAGGATTTTCAGAGCATCCTCATAGCTAATGTGGTCAAAGAAGACGGTTGCGCTGAGCAGCTGGTCCCCTAGACAGAGACAGGGGTCGTGGCCTTAGCTCCCCCAGGTTCATCCTTGCTGGGACGGAGGGCCCTGCAGGGGTGCAGAGGGGTGTGGAGGGGCCTGCAGGGGTGTGGAGGGGCCTGCAGGGGTGCGGAAGGGCCTGCAGGGGTGCGGAGGGCCTACAGGGGTACGGAGGGCCTACAGGGGTGTGGAGGGGCCTGAATGGGTATGGAGGGCCTGCAGGGGTGTGGAGGGGCCTGCAGGGGTGTGTGCACAGAGGGAGTCGCCATGTGCCCAGCCCTTCCCTCCACGGAGCTCTGTGCGGGCAGGTGTCCCCCTGTCACAGGGGAGAGCCCAGCATGGGGGCGGCATCCTGAGCTGCGGGCTGGCCTGGCCCCTGCAGACCCTCCCCTGCTGCTGGGACTGGGGAGCAGGGACGAGCGGCCGGTTGTTTTAGAATGAAGTTAGATATAGCATCTCCTTAGATTTAACTGCACATTAATGTTGGAGCGTAGGTTTGATTTCTTAACTAAGGCTGAGTAGGATATTTTGCCATCAATATCAGATAGGGAAGAATTTACTTAGAATTTACATAAGTTGTGAAAATATGCTAATTTGGTTAAATATAGTTTAATATTTTGAATTCAGGCCTGGGGTGCTGTGGCCCAGTTCTGCAGGAAGCCAGCTGCAGCCGCCTGGGGGGCTGACATCCTCCTGTCCCCGCTCCCACCTGCCAGGACTCAGGGGCAGCCCGTCCACAGCCCTCCAGCCCCCGGGGACTTGGGGAGCAAAGGGGAAGGGCTTCTGCTCCCAGCTGTCAGAGCCTCCATGCCCCCCTCGCCCACCTCCCTCCCCCGTGTTGTTCATTCTTCACTGGCTGTGAGCTCTGATCGCCAAGGAGGCCGCTGGGGCTCCAGCCGCCCGGGTCACAAATGCGGAGGGAAATGCAGCCAGGGGGCGGCCGGCCTGGCCTGGGCGTGGCCAGGGTGGGGCTGGCAGGGCTTGAGGA